ACATGGAAAGTAGCTTGACGACTGGGGAGTGCTCCCCTGTCCACAGAGGAGCCAGGAAGGGATCCCAGTGTGGGGTACTCAGTGGCAGCAGTCCACCCAAGCATCGCTGCATTCGTGCATGGCTGCACCCAAGCATCGCTGCATTCATGATGGCAAAGGACCCTGCCCATCTGCTGTGGTTTGCATACGGCTTGGGTATGTGTCCTAAGTGATTCACGCATTGACGTTTGGTCCCCATTGTGAGGTGTTAAGGGTAGGAGAATGTAATCCCACTATGTTTAGAGGAGGCATCTCTGGGAGCTGATGGAGGTTCCACCAGGTCATGAAGACGGAGCCCAACCATGGAATACTAGTGGCTCCATAGGAAAGAGAGGCTGGAGGATGGGCAGACACATCTGTTCCACATCTCTCAGCAGGTGATGTTTTGCAGCTGCCAGTAAGGTCGTCTCAATCTAGGACCAGAACCCTGAGCTAAATAAACTTTTTTTATTAGGTTACCCAGCCATAGGCACTTGGTGATAGTCGTGAAAAGTAGATTAATATCAAAATCAAAACAAGAAAGGATGATAAAGTTTGCAAAGTCAGGGTCTCTCCTGACCTTTGCTTCCCTTTAGGTTAAATCATTTTCCAAACACTTGACAAGTTAGCATACACTGACCTTTCTGAGAATTCACAACCCACTGGCCCAAGCATCACAAATGGAACACTCACCCTCTCTCTCTGTCTCTTTGTCTGACTCTGTCTGCCTGTCTCTCTGTGCCTGTCTGTCTCCCTCCTCTCTCCCTGCCCCCCTCTTTTCTTTCCTCTCTCCTTCCTTCTTTCTCTGGACCTTGAACATATCTATGAAACAGAAAACGTGACACCTTGCCGGGCGGTGGTGGCCCACGCCTTTAATCCCAGCACTTGGAAGGCAGAGGCAGGTGGATCTCTGTGAGTTTGAGGCCAGCCTGTCTACAAAGGGAGTCCCAAGATAGCCAGAGCTACACAGAGAAACCCTGTTTTAAAAAATAAAAAGAAAGAAAAAGGAAAATATACCTCATGGAATAAAATCAGGGCTCAGCCAACCACACCTTGAGGGCTGAAGTCAGCTGTGGTCTGTTTTGTATATCTACCAGATAAAATGGATTGAATGTTTTAGATCCTTGTGAAAACAACAATTAAATGACATTTTTGTTAGTTAGTTTGTTGCTGTTGTTGTTTAAAAGTCAGACCAAAACAAACAAAATAAACTGAAAATATTGCCCGTGTGGTCCTTTGTAGAAAAAGTTGGCAGATCGCTGTTTAAGGGGGATTTTTTTTTTTTTTTTAATTAGCTGAGTACACAGGGAACACATGGAAAAGGTAGAAGTTTTATTCCCAAACCAGGGAACTTTCTGGAAGTCATTTCACGGTAAGGGAAAGAGTAAATGAGTCCAGCAGATGGGGCGAAAGTCACAAGATTTGTAGAAAATTATTTTTTAAGCATTCCTCTTTGGCCCTCTCTCCATGCTGGTCTGTAGGACACCCATTAAAAACAAACCAACAAACGCACACCCCACCCTGGACTCGGTGGTTTCCACAACAGCATCTATTGTCCCACAGGCCCGGTCTGAGGTGCTCCAAGGCCAGGCTCCTCGCCACAGACAGCTGCTTTCTTCTCCCCTGTCCTCACATGACCTTTCCCATCTGCTGTCCCTGCTGGGAGTAGATCAGGTCTCACCCTAACGACCTCATTTTAATTTGTCTCTAAAGGTGTCACATTCGGAGGTACTAGAGGCTTCAACACAGGAATTTGAAGAGGACGCAAATCACCCTAACATGCTCTTCACAAATGAGATTAGAATTTACCAATGTGGTCCCTTTCTTCAGAAAAAGTAACTGTTGAGCTGGCCTGACAGCTCCTTTGGTAGACTGCCTACCTTGTAAGCACAAAGACCTCAGTTCAATGCCCCAGAACCCATGTTGAAAACAACAGGAACAACAAACAAACAAAGCCTGGCCTTGACGGCACACGCTTGCAATCTCAGTACTGGGGGCGCACTAACAGGGAGCTCCTGGGGCACTCAAGTCAGCCTAGCTACTAGGAAAGTTCCAGGTCAGTGAGCAATCCCGTCTCAAAATACAGGGTGGCTAGCAGCGTAAGAGTGACAGTCTAGGTCGCCCTCCGGCCTCCAGGCACACACGTGTGCTCCTGCACATACGGACACAAAGAGAAGAAAAATCCCTCGCTTACTGGTAGCTGGCATTATTGTCTAACGGTGGAGTGAGGCCTGTCTGATTTCAGTGATATTTATTTATCGATGGAGCCTCCTCACTCTGGAGCCCAGGCTGGCCTCACGCTTGCAGTTCTCCCTGCTTTCATCTCTCTGTGCTGGGATTACAGGCATATACCACCAAATTCAGCATAGGGACCATGAGGTAACTGTTTCTTCCAGGTTGGACATGACCACTGCCATCTTGGAGCAGATCGGCTGTGCTGATCTGCCTAGGACCCTCATGAGATCAAGCCTGTCAACATTCCCTCCTAGAAGGAGAAGGTAGGGTCATGAGACTCCCAAGACTTTTGCAAATCCTCATGAGGACCCTCCCCAAGGTCCCAATCACTGCACTATGAGAGGTAAACAACCGTGGTAGGAATTCCCCATGGGATAGCTGTCCAAAGTCACTTAGGGGACTTTTTGGTGGTATGAGTCACCCATGTTCCCCCAGTAAGTGGTCCTGTCATGCTGAGAAGACATCGATTTGGGCCATCCTCCCCAACCTCTGCCTCTTAAAATAATTCATCCATCTTCTGTGGTGATCTGTGAGTTTCGCTAAAATCTGTGGGGGAGACAAATCTTTACTGAAGAGACCATTAGGATTTGGGGTGTGCTAAGTTATGCAAGCGAAATCCAAAGGCTCCCACACATGGGCTGCTAGAGGGGAGGACCCCGGTAAACTTCTGCTCAATTCTGGTAGACAACTTTGTTTCCAATACAAGACTGCCCTCTTCCCCCATATCAGCTGTCTGTGGTGTGATATCTACAAAAATAGTGTTGTTATTGTATGAAGCTTAAATATATGTGACAGACTTCAATATAAGTTAGGGCCTTTGCATTCAACATAGGCCATCTTGTAAGCAGGGAATGCACGTAGCTCTGGTCTGGAAGCCAGCCCTATTTATGTCTTCACTGGTAAATCTGTTTCCTGGTGGTGTTTTCTCAGTCATGTGCCACCTTTCATCATAAGCTGATTAACTCCAGTTGGTCCCAGTTTGCTCCGCATCTAGCTGGTCCACATTCCCGGATGGGATTCCCTCAGATATCTCACTGAATGTACACCAACTCGGATGCGGGTGTCTGCGGAAGGCGGGTGGCAGATCCAAGCCTCCGGGCCACATTCCCCCACCATCCCTGCGTACCTACAGATATCAATCCCAGAACACAGTGCCCTGAGAACACGTCTGTAGCAAAGAAGTACAAACATGTACCCCGTTTGTCTGTGGAACCAGATGTCCGAGACGCTCCCTTGAGCAAAGGGCTGCCACAGATAATACACTCATTTACCACTCAGGAAACACAATCCTTTCATTGAAAAGTGATGACATTAAGTTGAACCAGCTCCCAGCACTGCTCTGAATTATTCTCAGTGTGTCTGTGGCACACAGAGGACCATACACAGACAACAAATGCAGTAACCAAGAGGCTTTCCAGGTCCTGCTAGAAAAAACAGTCCATCTTGCATTCTTTCCGAATCTGTCTCACTTTGTGATAGGTCTCTGTGTAAGTGTTCTATTGGTTTAGTCTCACAAACCCCAGTAGAGAACAAGGGGCTTCTATCTACATCAGATTCAGAAGAAAACAAGAGAGTCCAAAAAGGAAGTGGTCTGTCCAGCTTCACTAATCAGTGGAGGGCAGCAGAAAAGGTCCGATGCTGAACGATCTGCAGGTTCTTGAGACAACGCACCGTTTTGAGAATGACTTAAGAATGCTCAGACAGTTCCTCCCAGGAACCTCGGAAGTGCCTGCCACAGTGAAAGCCTGATTTGCCCTCAATGTTCCTCTAAGCACATGGCAGCCAGTTCACCTGGGAACTCTGGGGTATCCTTTTGAACAAGATTGGGGTAACTGAGTATGGTGGTGCATATCTGTAATCTGAGCACTCAGAAGGTTGAGGCAGGAGGACTGTGACTTCAAGGGCAGTCTAGGTTGTATATGATAAGAACTTAATCTAAAAAAAAAACACAGAAGGAGATAGTTGGGTATGGTGGCAGTGCATGTATGTGTTCTCAGAAGGCTGAGGCAGGAGGATTATGACTTCATGGCAAGCCTGGACTACATGAGACCTTGAAGAAGAAGAAAAGAAAAAAGAAGAGGCAGTAGAAGCAGAAGGAGAGAGGAGGAGGCTAAGGTTGGACCTGAGAATCTTAGGTTCCTTCCTGCTCTGAAATGCTGCGATTCTTACAATAAAATGCCCAAACCACACAACTGCTCCTTTATCTCTAACTTCCGGGTGAGCTGTGCAGCAGGAACACAAGTCCTGCCAGCTTTGTAGCCATGCCACCCTCCGAGCCTGTAGTTCCTGTGGGAGAGGGACACACGGACTTAAGGACGGTGGCACCTACTGAAAAACATTCTATATGAACGGTGTCGCAACCAGGACAATCCAAACAGCTAATGTACACCTATCCCATCACATATCCGCCTCTTTCCCTGACTGGGGACCTAAATAAAGGACAGAGACCAGAACAGAAGCAAGATGCATGGCCATCCTTCTGTGATTCTCCCTGGGAAATCCTGACCCATCATGTGAAAAACATGCTGAGGCGTCTTGAGCTGCCATTCAGCCCATCAGTCATATCAACCTTTGGAAACACTCACTGCAGGTGAAATTAACCAGGGGCTGCTAGAATAGAAAATGCCCCCAAGTCCCCCACCTCTCCATACCCATTGGTATCTGTGCCAAGAGCTTTAAGTAAACACTGGTACTCTGTAGCACACACTCCATGTTTTAAGATGTATCAATAAATAAAGAAGCAGCCATAGTGAGGAAAAAGTGTATTTCACAGCCATTATAAAAGTACATATATTCAATAATGGTGACATAAATATAGTCCTTACTTATGACCAAACCGTACAACTAAAATGGACTCTTCCTCCTGGACTTCACACAATGACAGTTCGGCCCTTCCCATCAGTAGCCACAGGCTGACTGAAATAAATCACAGGCAAAGACTCATGAAGGATGGTCATGGGTCCAACAGACGACACTCCATACCTAACAAAAGGATAGTCAAGTTTTCCATATAAATATAATAAAACAAGAATTTAACATTTCTTCTTCCCCTTGGTTTCACAGAGTTGTCTGTCAGGTGCATGCACACCCCCAAACACAGCTCGTCTCCCCTCCTGCTCCCCTTTGCCTCCCGCTGGGTTCACTACACACCTGAGTTCCGAGTCGGTTACCAGTGGCAACACGGGCAGCTGGGGGTGCATCTGACACCATTCTCGAAGCGTTCGAAGAATGGGAAACACTTTCTCCATAAGTGAACACCAACACACACACACACACACACACACATACACACACACACACACGTGAGGAGAGCAGACAGCCAGAAAAAGACATAAGGGGCTACAAAAAAGGGGGCAGGGCACACAGGTATACATCCTACCAACTTGCAGAGCCAGAGGGTTACAGTTGGCAGTCATCTTTCAAAAGGGATTCTTCACCCATCAAAACTCAAACACATTGCGCCAATACAGCGTCTGTAGATGATTCTTCTCTTCCCTCTGCTTAGAGAGGTCTGTTTTCAATGTTAAGTCCTGGAAGCTGAGCTGAAGCCTGGCCTCCTCCTAACAGGCCCTAGGGAGGGGTGAGTCCCTCCCTAGGACTAAGCAGCCCAGGTCTTTCCAAGTTCAGCCAAGACTAGAACATCTTGCTTCCAGGGTTGGCCAAATGTGTGTTCTCTTCTTGCCCAGTCAGAGGGGTGAGAGGCCGAAGGATGCCACCATTGGTAAATGAGAGACGGTGACGCTGTCTCATCCCCCACTGGCAAAGGCTGGCTTCGTGATTTTAATGAAATTAGCCCACTTCAGAATCAGTGGACCAAGACAATGAACCTGGCTTCACGGCTACAGGTGTGGTCTCTGATTACATCTGAAATAGCCAAAGATCAAAGATTCTGGGCTCTTCCATAACTCATCTCCTAAACCAACTGTGACCCAACTTGTACCGATTCTTCCTCTCCTTACAATGCTGCTCATGACTGAGCAGTCCCCTGCTGAGTACCAGGGTCCAGGATCCACACAGAGCCAGTCCCCCATCAAGTGCCAGCTGGACATGATCAGACAACACCAGATTCCACAAAAGACACAAGGGGCGTCACAGTCACAAAACCAGAAATGCATCTTTGGTTCAATCCTGGAGGGGGAAGGCGCAGACTGTAACGTGGAGGACACTGCTTTCTTTGGGGACGAAATTGTCCACGAACATGCTCCCAGTGGGCAAGCCTTTTCCCAGCCCCCAGCACAGCTAAGCTCCAACCGCAGCAGAAGAACATACAGCAAATGCCTCCTTCTTGCATCTCAATTCTGCCTTAAGAATCCCTTCTCTCTTTCTCCAGAACCTTCCGGAGCTATGTTCTATGTCTTCAGCTGCTGCCACAATGTAAACACAGGATGGCTAGGCTGCTGTCCCTCATGCAGGCCACCAGGGTCTAATGCTGCTACCATCGGCACCCAGACCAGCTTTCTGGCCGTCTGGGCTACAGCCTCGCAGAAAAACATGAATTTGGTCGAAGTACTTCCCATCTGGCCACCTAGGCTCTTAAAAATTGTTATTTTGAGCCAGACAAAGGGGTATACACTTGCAATCCCAGCACTCTGGAAGCTGAGGCAGGAGGATGATGAGTTTGAAGTCAACCTGGGCTACTCAATGAGACCCTGACTCAAAGAAAAAAGAAAAAAAGAAAAAAGAAAAGAAAGAAAAAGGGAGTTACTTCAATTTAATAGCATCATATAAAGAAAGATTTCTTTGGACAAGTTCATTCAATCTTAGCAAGTTTCAATCAAAAAAAAAAAGGAAAAATAAAGGCAGAAAAGACCATTTGTGAAAACATTGCATGGGAATGAGTGTTTTCAGTCTTCATCTTCCATCTGGGCTCTCACAGTTGGGTTCCATCTTTGTCTGAGGCTCTATCCCATCTTCCTCTGGGGTTCCTGGGGTCTGGCACTGTGCCTCACCAATTCTGCTCTCCCACAGGGGCTCACAGGTAGGGTATAAAAGGTTGCTTTCCTCGGGAGGAATCCCTAGGCTGGGTGAACGTCCTTGCAGTGGCATGGTCCCTGTGAGACTGTGACTGGCCACTGAACAGAACAGTCTGTGAGAGGCACACATGGAGCGGAGGAGGGAAGGAAGGCCAGGTACCGATCTGGAAATCCGAGTGGTCCCGCAGATGGGGGTGTGGTTTTCAGCTCTGAGCCCAGCCGGGGGATACTGGAGAGGACTGGATGAGGGGTTGTAGGAAAGAGGGTCTCAGACTGGAATGGATGGCTCCTATAACCAGCCCCCCTGGTTCTCAGCATCTCATAGGGTTCCTAAGTGAGGCTTGGCGTGTGGGCTTTGAGTCTGTGGATTGCAGCTGATCTGAGCTTGGAACATTGTGCGGAAGGAATAAAGGATGCTCTTGTGAGGTTGACTGCTCATGCCCTGATGTATGTGAGGAGCACTGTTCCATTGCTGTCCTCACGGAGACCCAGAATCTTGCCATCCCGTGTTAACACTGGCCCTTTACACCATCAGCCAGGTCAAAGGAGAGGCTGGAGGGGGCCGTGGGCTGCAGCGGGGATATGCTGGCCTCCAGGGACCTCTCGGAGGAAGGCTGCAGGCTCTGGTGCCGCTTCCTCAGCATCTGTCCAATGCCCATCATGGGGAACCTTCCCCTGCTTTTCACACAGTTGGGGCTCCCCAGAGGCTGTGTGAGGCCATTGCTGGGAACCGGAGGAGGGGAACACACACCCTCCTCTTTCGGGGAGCTGCTCTTATCTTCATGACCGAAAGAGACCAGCGTGGAATGCAGTGGAGTTTGGAGAGGTGAGGTGCTTCCAGACAGCAGCCCCGGAGAGAGTGTCCTCTCACTAGAATTCCTCCGAGCCAAGCTCACAGGTGAGTTCAGGATCCTATAGTGGTGGGAAGGGGACAGCAGTTCTACGTGGTCCTCGCGATCCACAGACTCAAAGGAGCGTACCATGTCCAGCAGCAGCGGCTCTTCCTTGGGGAGGATGCTGGCACTTCCTGGCCCTGGCTGGTGTGGCTCTAGTTTCTTTACAATCCTGGGCGTCCTGGGAGGTGGGACAGGGATGAACTCCATGGAAGAAGAAGCCACACAACTGGAATCAGAGGTTTTGCGGAAAAGATTGCGGCAGCCGAAGGAATCTACACACCAAGAAAGCAAGACCGTGAAAAGGGATTCGGAAAGAGCCTCACATGGCCATCCTGCCTGTGCTGTCCCCCAGCTTAACTGAGATAGCAACCTGGTACAGGGCAGGAGGAAGCATGAGACCAATGACCCGGGATAGTTAGAGGAAGCGTCAACCAAAGCTCCCGAGGTCCCAGCAGGAGCTCCAGAAGTCCTTCTAGGCTATAGGAGACAAGAGGCTGGACCAGAAGCCCTAACATCCACCATTGATAACTGAAAATTCCTGACTCTACCAAGAGGCCTTTGAACAAAGAGGTTTACCTGCTCAACAGAACATCCTTTAAAGCTTGGAGGTCCACAGAATCTGACTTACTGAACCCACACACATCTGGTCTCTTGACTGCTGACCCCAGAAGGACTTGTGTCCCTCAACTTTCTTGTTAAGTTCATCATGGTAAAAAAAAAAAAGTGACAGAAAGTTGATCAATTTAGTGTCTTTCTGCGTATAGTTTGGCAAAGTATACACAGCTATTTCATCCTATAGAAACAATGCTGCCTTACACAGTTATTTCATCCCATAGAAATAATGCTGCTCTTACACAGTTATTTCATCCTACAGAAACAATGCTGCCCTAGTTATTTCATCCTATAGAAACAATGCTGCCCTTACAGTTATTTCATCCTATAGAAATAATGCTGCCTTATACAGCTATTTCATCCTATAGAAATAGTGCTGCCTTACACAGTTATTTCATCCTATAGAAACAATGCTGCCTTACAGTTATTTCATCCTATAGAAACAATGCTGCCTTACACAGTTATTTCATCCTATAGAAACAATGCTGCCTTACACAGTTATTTCATCCTATAGAAACAATGCTGCCATTACACAGTTATTTCACCCTATAGAAATAATGCTGCCTTAGTTATTTCATCCTATAGAAACAATGCTGCCATTACACAGCTATTTCATCCTATAGAAACAATGCTGCCTTACAGTTATTTCATCCTATAGAAACAATGCTGCCTTACACAGTTATTTCATCCTATAGAAACAATGCTGCCTTACACAGTTATTTCACCCTATAGAAATAATGCTGCCTTAGTTATTTCATCCTATAGAAACAATGCTGCCATTACACAGCTATTTCATCCTATAGAAACAATGCTGCCTTACAGTTATTTCATCCTACAGAAACAATGCTGCCTTACACAGTTATTTCATCCTACAGAAACAATGCTGCCTTACAGTTATTTTATCCTATAGAAACAATGCTGCCATTACACAGCTATTTCATCCTATAGAAATAATGCTGCCCTTACAGTTATTTCACCCTATAGAAATAATGCTGCTCTTACACAGTTATTTCACCCTATAGAAACAATGCTGCCTTTACAGTTATTTCATCCTACAGAAACAATGCTGCCTTACAGTTATTTCATCCTATAGAAACAATGCTGCCCTTACAGTTATTTCATCCTATAAAAATAATGCTGCCTTACAGTTATTTCATCCTATAGAAACAATGCTGCCTTTACACAGTTATTTCATCCTATAGAAACAATGCTGCTCTTACACAGTTATTTCACCCTATAGAAACAATGCTGCCTTTACAGTTATTTCACCCTATAGAAATAATGCTGCCTTTACATGCTGGTGCACTTGTCCCCTACACTCGGGCAATTCCCACCCTACCTGCAGATCCTTGAACTTGGCCACTCTAGGAATGTAAACAGCCTCATACAGTATCCAGACTTTGAAGCCTGGCTCATTCCCTTAGTGCAAGAGCTTACAGGTTCACCCGGGCTGTGGATGTCTCTCCTATTTCAAGCCTCCCTTGTGGCTTTGAACTCAACACAGCCGAGTCAACTTCAAACAGAAATATGAGGCAAAGGCAACCAGCCAATGCCCAGACTTTCCATCCTGAGTTGGCACAGACCAGAATCCAGGTTTGTGAACTGTACCAGGAAAGAGAGAGAAAACCTCCCGAGAGGCTTGACACGTGGGCAGAAGAAAGCCAAATTCATGCAGAATAAGCTCTGTCTCGGGCTCTTCTCACTGTGTAACATTTTATGGGCTTCATCATGGCCCAGCTGCAGGAGCAAGCTGCTGCCCAGTGGGGGTGATTTCAGGAGCAGCTCAGGGCACTGAGAATCTCCCTTGCCCACATAAATAAATACTCAGACATGGAAGTAAATCTCCTCGGGCAGCAGATGCCTGAGATGTGACAGCAGAAAGAAGTAAGATTTCATTAGTGGCTAATATTGTCAGTGCTCCGGCTGGCTCAGGAGCACGGCTTCCTCTCCGAGGTCTGCGGCGTTAGCGCACCGAGACAGGCTGCACCGGGCAATGAAGGGATAGTAGCTGTTGCCCCAGAGGCTCTCTAAGCAAAGCAACAAGCCTGAGTGGACCTCAGACGGCCACACCCCTCCCCGAGCCTCAGATGCAGCAACCTCTGTAAATAAATAATAAAACCTCTGCGACCAGACTACACTAAAGGGAGCTCCTGCCTCAGGATTCCATGTTAGGACACCCCCAGCTTCCGTGCCTCCCTCGCGGGGGGTGTTTCTCCTGGAAGGGGCCTCACAGGTGTCAGTGATCAATGACGGCCCGGATTCTGAACCAGGACACGTTGGACCCAATGTGTAGGTCTAACAGCCAGGGCCTATGACACCGAGGGACTCAGTGAAGACCTTTGGCTCCCAGCAAACAGTAGAGCTGGGACTTGAACTTGGGTCTGAGAACCCTACCATCGCTCTAGAACCCAGACACAGCAGTCACGCTTGAATGCCTCATGGGGCCACGTTTCTAAGAAAAGCTCCAATAAGACCACGCCCAGCACTTGCTTTTGCCCCCCCCCCCCACCTCCTGCTCCTGCTCCTCTCTACCTATCCCACTGACCCCTGTAATCTCATGGACTCACTGTGGCCCCAGAACATGGTGTGTACCAACCTCTCATCCTGCACATCTTCATCTAGTCCTGTGCCCTCATCTCCTTCTGTGATACCTCATATACTTGCATCTGGTCCCACAGTACCATGCCACCAAATCTCTGCCTTACATGCCATGAATCCCCAGACTCTTTATACCACAATTATCTACCTGATCTCTGTTCCCTCAGTACCACATACCCCAGCCTCTGTTCCCTCAGTACCACATACCCCAGCCTCTGCTCCCTCAGTACCACATACCCCAGCCTCTGTTCCCTCAGTACCACACACCCTAGCCTCTGTTCCCTCAGTACCACACACCCCAGCCTCTGTTCCCTCAGTACCACACACCCCAGCCTCTGTTCCCTCAGTACCACACACTCCAGCCTCTGTTCCCTCAGTACCACACACCCCAGCCTCTGTTCCCTCAGTACCACATACCCCAGCCTCTGTTCCCTCAGTACCACATACCCCAGCCTCTGCTCCCTCAGTACCACATACCCCAGCCTCTGCTCCAACAACACTTTCTACCCTAATTTCTGCCTCTACTGTTCTATGCACCCCAACTCTTCTTCCACAGTCCTGCACACTTTGACGACTTGCTGCCACATCTTAATGCCCTCTCCTGCAACACTATGTACCCTAGTCTCTGTTTCCATTATACTATGTGCCCCCTCTGTCTTCTCAAATCCTGCACAGGTGGTCAACACCCTACCGTTTGGCTCCCAAGTCCCATTGCCTTAGATGTGTGAATGGTACCTTCCAAAAGGCACAATCACCTCTGTCCTGAGTCTACACAGCCACCCACAATGAGCTGACCCACCTTTGTCGGGAAAGCCTGCTTTGGAAGTCTTCCGGTCTTTGAGCAGGGCTTTGGTGTTCTGGATCTGTGTGATGAGTGAGGCTGAGGGCTGTTTGTGGGAGGGCAGGCTCTTGTCCAACTTCTTGGAAAACGGACGATGGAGAAAATCACCCCTCTTTTCTTGTTCTTTGGGCTTTTTATCCTTCGAATCGAAAGTGAACACACATATTCAGACACCCACAAGAATATACTTTAGGATTCTTCTCTGAAAAGTAACCCAAATAGAAGAGGGGAACCCCAGCTTTTACATGTTGTATACTTTGCAGCGTGTGGATTAAGGGGAGGGGATAGGGACTGAGGTCTAGCCCATGCTCCAGGGGGCCAGCTCCCTCTGCCTGGGAGCAAATAAATGTGGATTCTCTCTAGCTCGCTTGCACTGCCCTGTGTCGACATGTTCCAGAGTGGTCAAGGCCACCCTACGTGACCAGGTATCCTGGAAGAATCTGAAGGAACTAAGGCGCAAACAACCCAGAATTCTAAAGAACTACTGTGTGCATCTGAAGTACTGCCCTAGTTGGGCATGCAGGTGCAGACCTGTGATTTCATTATTCTGAGATTAATCTAGGAGGATTTCAAGTTCAAGGCCAGCCTGACCTACACAGTGAGACCTGGCTGTAGTTAATCTTGACCTTCAACTTGAATGGATTGAGCAACATGTAGGGGCTTTAAAAAGGCTGCTCCTGGAGGTGTCTATGAGGGCAATTTCTGGGGCCCTTAGCTCATGAGGGCACTGACCCTATCTACGCATCTGTTGATGGCTTCAAAATTTGAACAGAATGTTAGGAAAGAGGTGACACTTAGGGAGGCGGGCCTTGATGAAGACAGAGATCACTGACAGTGTGTGATTGGCAGCTACATTTTGTCTTGGCCTCTTCCTATCGCTCCATTTGTTCCCCATCTGCCATGATATAAACAGCTCTGCTATGCCCTTACCCCTACGGCCTGAAACCGCTGAAATCAGAAGCAAAATAATTTGTCCTATAAGTTGTTTTTCTCAGGCAGATAGCACAACAATGGAAAAGCCCAACACAGACCCTGTCTAAAAACACCAAACCCATCCATCCATCCACCCATCCACCCATCCACCCATCCATCCACCCACTCATCCATCCATCATCAAGTGGTACCCTCAGATCCCAACTGTAATGAACTCTTTGCCAACAGAGAGAGAACTGCTTTCGTTAACCTCAGACCCAGTGTGTTTAGTCTAAACTCCATAGAGCCCTGAGAAGTCATATTAGGTCTGTAACCTTTTCTCTCGTCTAAGCATGGGAGCATCTGCACATGGATCTAAACCTCGTAGGTATGCTGCCATTTTTTTTTAGCTGTAGATTTCCTCTTTATAGAATCAGATCATAATCCTGCTAATGGGCGTGGACATGACTGTTTGATGTGTCTTCAACCCCACAGCCTCTGGCGTCAAGCCAGGTCCGTAGAAGCAGCATTATAAGCAGCTATTTGGAGGGAGAAAGGGTCAGTGGAAACTGAACTGAATTAAAATTAATTGAGTTCAAGTTTCTGGGAACAGTGAGGCCACAAAGCAGCTGCAGAGGGAGGAATCATTTCTCTGGCCCTGACGACTGTACTGATGTTTACCGCTAAACACAGGCGAGGCATCCCTGACCTCGCCCGGCTGAGGGGAAAAGGCAGCTTTCCACGTTTTTTTGCCTTCAAGTTGAAGAGGACTTGCAGTTCGAGGGAGCTCATCAATTTTTCATTTATGTGCTGAAAGGCTTTGTGAGGAAGCATCGCTTTGCACTTCTACAAAGTACCCTACCCACCAAGGATGCCCAGCACCGTCGTAGAGAGCTCATTATGCCAGGGTCACTGACGGGAAAGAACAATAGTGGAGAAACGGGAAGTGGGGTGCTGGTCTCCAGGGCCACTGCCACGGGCTGTAGCTTCTGGAAGATCTAACCCTTAGCCAGTGAGGGGACGTGAGATAGATGGAGAGGCCTGCCCAGCTCCTACAGGCTCCTTCCACAGCTGCCACTGCCATTAAAGGGCACAGGGAGCCGTGATGAGGAAACAGCCTGGGCCGGCCCAGTGATTTACCCCAGGAACAGGCTGAAAACAGATCTCCAAGCCTTCAAGTCAGTCCTGTGGACTGTTGACTCCACATGGCCGGGGGTAGGGTCAGGAGGTGGCAGCTGGGGTGACACGCAGGAGGCGACTCCTAATAAAAGGATGACCTCAGCTGCACTTCTGCCTCTCAGCTGTGCTACCCAACACATGGAACCTTCCATCACGTTGTGAGGCAGCAAGAAGGCCCTCCCTCCCCAGATGCTGACCTCAAGTCCTTGGAAATGTACGAAATAAACTTCTGTTGTTCATAAATGATCTGGTCTCAGGCATTCTGTTATAACAACAGAAAATGCACTAAGATATCCAGGATACTATGAGGTATGTTCTAGGTGACCATGGGAAGGTCAGCAGGAGAAAAACCAGTTTCCACTGTTCTCTGCTCCTCTGTTTCACGAAACACAAACAGTCCACTTTCTACTTTTTCAAAAGAAAACAAGCTTTTATAGCAAACACACACGGAGACAGACAGATATACACAGAAACAAGCGTGTGCATCAGCATACACACTCACACCACAGATGTACACATAGACACAGACACACAGATACATACATATACAGACACACAGAGAGATAGACAGATAAACCCACACACAGAGACAGACAGGCAGGCAGATAAACACGTACACAGAGACAGACAGACAGACAAACACAGAGAAGCACATACAGATGCACACACACACACACACACACACACACACACACACACACACACACACTTCTGAGTAGCATGAAGGAGGATATGATGGGTCTTTCCTGAAAAGTCTGGAAGAACTTCTTTTGTTCATTTTCTTTTATAATCTCTGTTCTTATGCAAAGTTACCATTTCTATCTGTGTTAATACCACAGCAGGAAGAAACACACACAAGATGCACTTTAAAACAAAACTCCATAGAAAAGATCAAATTGCATTCACCCCATTTTAGAATAATAATAATAAAAAGACCAGCAAAGGCTCCTTCAGGCTGCTATGCAGCCCCATGCATAGAGGTCTGCCTGCAGCTGGAGGGGGTCTACTGTAGCTCCTTTCCAGCCCCTTTGGGGGTTCTTGATAGTTTAAGAATCAGGTTATAAAAGCTCTGGGGCCAGTCTCCCCAGGCAGACTGAACTTAGTAGCAAGAAGTGTGTGAGCTGTGGGAGTCTGCTGCAGAGGAGTCCACGGCTGGCCTGGAAGACCAAGTTTCCCCTTGACCAAGGGAGGGATATGCGAGGAGAAGGGGGAATTGCTTGCTGGCCTGCACCTGCCAGGAATCCCTGCTAAGGCCATCTTTGCTGGACTTGGGCCGCAGCATGAAAACCATCAGAACGTGCATCTCCACAGAGATTTCATTGAAACTATTTCCAGGGAGCTGTCAAGAAGTCGCCCCTGAACACTCCTTGAACGGGATGAACCTTGGGCTAGTTCATGTATAAGTGCAGATGTCTAAAGGAGAGATGTTTATTTAACCAGCTGATCCCACTGCCTCAAACACGTGCCGATGATCACCCAGTTAGACCTTTTCATTTGTTTAACCTATTTTCTCTAAAGGAAATCCCCTAAGGAGCTGGATGCTAACAATGCCTTATATAACAGAAAATAATCTTCAGAGAGACAGACTACACTTTTCCTTCCGAGGGCATGTGTCCCACCTACCAGTTCTGGAGCTGGCAGGGTCCCGGTTCCCTGATTCTCCTCAGTCAAGGTTCACTAGCATCCATGAGGCCTAGGGGACTAGTGAGGAAATTCACAATCTTGACCCTTAGCACTTTTTCCTTATAACCCACAGGACAGTTTATAACAAGTCAGACCAGAGAGGGCCACATGAGGTGGGTCAAGAACGTGTGTGACAGAGAGAAAGAAAGAGAGAAACAGCCAGAGAGAGAGACAGACAGACAGACAGATATCAGTTGATATTAGCTGTTGTTCTCAATCCTGCTCTACCTTATTTACAGAATCAGGGTCTTTTGTTGAGCTTGGAGAGCACAGATGATTTGGCTAGTCTAACTAGTTAGCCTTGGGGATCCCCTGTCTCCTGAGTACTGAGGTTACAGGTGGACCACTATACCCATCCAGCTTTGATATGGGTACAGGGGATCTGAACCCAAGATCTCAACACAGAGCAAAAGCACCTTGTCCACTGAACCACTGTTCCAGTCCCACAAGCAGAAACCTGACCTCTAGCCACCAATTCTACCCACTAGAGACACGTACAAACAGTTACAAATTTTTTTAACGTGGGCCCAGAAAGGATGATTTGCATTAAGCTCCTTAATATCCTGTACCATTCTATGGAAGAAACAGATCCACTGAACGTTTAGAGACAGTGTGTGTCTGCTCCAGCAGCCAACCTGAGGGGAAGGCCCAGTCCTCGGCTTCTAAGCCCTGAGCTCCAGAGAGCTGGTCCCTTTCAGAGTCTCCCTTCCTGACTCTCTAGAGGCAAGGCAGTCACCAAAGAACAACCACCATGGTAGCAGCTTGGCAGTGAACTCCATCCCTGGCTCTCTGCAACTTGCTGTGACCACAGGCAACTCCTGTCACCTCCAGGGAAGTGCATCCCCATCTGTAACTACAAGTGTGGTCCTTCCCAGCTCTGCAGCACAAGCAAAAATCCATCCTGCATCTGCGTGGTATTCAGAATGGCAGACACTCCGATTTAACAAGGACAGGGACTCAGCGCCTCCTGTCATCCCAGGCTGGAAGAACTGCCCCTTGGGAAGCTGACTTCTCTCCCACATAGAGGGTGACTATGGCACAGGAAGAGCCCTGGAGGCTCAGGGCACTTGGAGATCTTCCATCGGTGGGTGAATTCCATCAAGTTCAGCTCACTGGGAGCTTGACTGATAACTAAGGAGCTTCATCCAGCTGCTTAGAGAATCAGAGCCAGCCACCTCTCCCACCCTGGATGGCCAGTGTTCCCAGATGTCATTAGACAGCTGGCATTGGTTCCTTTATGCTTCTCATATTAGAGAAAGCCAGATTTGGCAAAACGCAGAAAACAAAACAACAAAATCTATGAGTGAGTTTAAAAAAAGAGTTAATTTATAAATCAGACCACAGAGCCAGGACCCCTGGGCTGCTGCAAACGCTGTGTCTCATGCAGAAGAAACAGGAATGCAAGACAGTGAAAAGAGCCAGTTCCACACAGCAAGCACCAACCCATCTGAGGAGGATCTGATCAACTCTTGACAGGATTCTGTGCACCTCAATTCAGGGTAAGAAAAGAGGGCTGCGGGGCTTGGTCCAGGACAGACACTGGCTGGTACTCGGGATCACATGGCAGTTCATTCCACGGGTCAGCATGGCTAGGTCACGTGATCTGGTGTGCGGTTAACTCCAGTGTATATGCTACTATGTAGAGGGCGTTTGGCATCTTTAACCGCCCCATCAGCGGGTGCGGGCGACCTTCCTCAGTGTGCTGTGTCTCACCCAGTGAGCTGAGAAGAACAGGTAGAATTGGAGAGCTGCCGCAGAGTGCTTGCTACCCAACCACGAGGACCTGCGTTTGGATGTTAGCACTCATATGAAAAGCTGGCGTGGTCTTGGGCACATCTGTAACCCTGGCACTTTGAGGGGCTGAGAAAAAGAGGATTTCTGAGGCTTTTCAGCCTAGCTGAAAAAACAGTTATAGGCTCAGGGAGACACCCTGCCTCAAAAGAATGAAGTACAAAGTGATAGAAGAGGTACACCCAATGCACTCTCCTGTCTCTATAGTTAGTTTCACACACACATGCACATAAACCACACACGCAAGAATTTAAAAGATGGTTATCTGTCTGTCTATAATCAATCTATCTTTCTACCATATTTCTGTTTTCATATGTGTATGCAAGTGAGAGAGCATGTATCTCTCTGGAGAGTCTGGCTAATCCATCAGAAACCCCCAAGCTCTTACCTGCACAGCATGGAATTCAAAGTCTTTTGTCCAGGTGTCCAGGGAGGCCTGGGAAGAAACCAATTTTCATCAATTCAAGAAGCTACATCCCAAAACCCCACTCCCAGGCCTCCCCCTACACCTCTGATGGAAAATTAATTATTTCAATATATATTATATTATTATATATTCTATTATATAATAATTATATATTCGTGTGTGTGTGTGTGTGTGTGTGTGTGTGTGTGTGTGTGTGTGTGTGTGTGTACACACACAGAACAACAACCACCCTGAATTGCAGTGTAAGGAGGGAGCAGATGTCCTAATCCACACGTAGGGCAGATCTTCTAGGCGAAGTTATTAAATGCTAAGATTCAGAAGGAAGGTGTGGGCTCCTGACAAACGAGCAACTCAACACGTTTCTCCAACAGTGAAGACGCCCATGGAAATAGCACCCACATCAGGAACTAGACCCCATCAGCACCTGAGAGTTTCTCCGCAGATTTTTTTTCCCAACCCAAACTCTATAAAACTTTTAATTTTAATTAATTAATCAACAAATTATGTGTACGAGGGCCCACCACGGTGTGCATATGGAGGTCAGAGGGCATCCTGTAGGGGCTGGATCTCCCCTTTCGCCATGTGGGTTCTGGGGAGCAAACCCCAGTCCTCGGGTAGCAAGTGCCTTTACCTGTGAGCCATGCTCAGGCTCTCCTCCCAACCTCTCTGTACCCAGTGTAGCTACTGTTCTAATTTCCTACAGCGCAAACCACTTGACCCGACTCCATGTTTTACTTTTTATTTAAAAAAAAAAATCTATGTGATATAGTCTGATCCTGCTTCCCTCTCTCCCAGTTTCTCCCAGATCCTCCTGACTTTATGTTCTTTCCATCTTTCTCGCAAAAACAACAAAACAAAAACAGCAAACAACAAAAACAAAAATCTAAAACAAAACCATAAGACAAAAAAGGCCCAAACGAAACAATAATAATAATAATAATAATAATAATAATAATAGCAGCTTACAAAAAAACATGCTGTTTATTTTGTGTTGGCCAACCCTGCCCTAGAATGTGACAAATATACCCAGTAATACTCCATTGGAGAAAATGGATTTTCCCTTTGACAGCAGGTATCAATTGCAAATAGCTCCTTGGCCATACTTTGTGTGTGCGTGCGTGCGTGCGTGCGTGCGTGCGTGCGTGCGTGCACCATATATATGCAAGTGCTCATAGAGGACAGAAGATAGCTTCAGATACTCTGAAACTGGGGTTACAGGCTGTTGTGTGGCTCCACACCGGTGCGGGAAACAGCACCAGGGTCCTTGGCCAGAACAGTAACTGCTGAGCCATCTCTCCAGCCCAAGTCATATAGATGTTTAAGTAAGTCATACGCTGCACGTCTGAATATTCACCTTTAAACTTACAGTCCCAATAGGTTAGCAATATCTCAAACTCTCTATGTTGGAGTTTAAACCTCTGGAACCATGGAATATAACCCTGTTTGGAGTCAGGTCTTCATAGTGATAGTTGAATTAAAATGAGGTGATCAGGACGACCCTTCTGCAATGTGACTGGTGTCATTACAAGAGGGGAGTCTGGACACAGGAATGCACCTAAGATGGCATGAGAAGGAAGCCAAAAAGGGACGCTCAGCAGCAGCCATCAGAAGCCTAGACGAAGGCTTGGAACAGGTTCCCTCTGCTGTCCCTCGGGAAGAACCAGCCTAAGTCACCTGGACCTCTAGAACTGAGAGACAGTAGATTTCGGCCCTGAGTGATATTTGTTACAACAGCCAGGTCAGAAGAAGCCAGTTCCCTTTGCTCCGTGACCAAGGTCTTGTCTGGAAAGATCTCTTGCTTCTAGCCTACATTTTACAAATCAACATTATTTTTTAGGAGATTTCAACAAAAATGGCACTGCACCACATTTTTTCAAGATAGGTTCTCACTGTGAGCCTTGAACTCACAGAGCTCTACAGGCCACTACCTCCTGAGTGCTGTAATTAAAAGCATGCTCCATTACATCTAGCCCATCTGAAGTCATCTTCAATAGCCATTTTAAAAATGATGACCAGCCTGTCTCCACCCCAGTGGGCCTCAGGTTCTCTGGACACCACACATTGGTGTTTCTAACTGAGATGTTCCCTTCTCCCCCTTTTTTGAGACTGGGTCCTTCTACATAGTCGTCCTGACTGTCCTGAAACTCACATGTAGAGCAGGCTGGTCTCCAACTCACAGAGATCCCCCTGCCTCTGCCTCCCGAGTGCTGGGATTAAAGGTATGTGCCACCACACCCAGTTGGTTATACGTTCCAAATTTACAAAATAGTCTCTTTCTTTTCACAGGAAGAGGCAGAATAATTCTTAATATTCTAGCACTGTAATCCCCAAAGGGAAGTTTTGAAAACTCAATTAAGCTTATTTCTCCTCTAGTACAGAAAAGAAGAGAAATGAGGAAGTAAAGGAGGCCACCCACACACTTGGGGCACAGGACACAACTTCATGACATCCTTGGAGCTTGTGGCCCTCCAGACAAATCCTTGATGAAATGCAACCCTACACTCCATTCCATGCTCTCCCCTTCACCCCTGCATTGTGTCCCCTCTCTTCTCATGCCAGCTAGTGGACCTCCAAGTGGCCGCACCAGGGAAGCCTGGGCCATCTGAGACCTTCCAGAATTCTTTCTACCCAGCCCCACCCCACTCCCTAGGTTCCCACCGAGACAAGTTGAGCAATCTCGTCACAGCCTGTAATTCAATTAGCAGAAGTAACACCGCACGCTGGAGAAACAAATGGATCATAGGAAACTGAACTGCAGCTTGCCCATTAGTGCTCCTATTTAAATCCTAACTGTTCAATATTTCAGCAAATGTTTAAAACGTCCGCCGTGGGCTTTCGGGCCAAGTGGAAATAACCGTCAGAGAAAGGGAATCGGAATGAGAGATGGGGCTCTTTCCCATCAGGGTTCTGGCACTTAGAGACATAGTGGCAGAAGGCGGGGTGTGAGAGAGAGGACAAGAAGACAGAGCCCAGGCAACGAGGCACAGAGGACGCTCGGGGCACCAGGCATCTTTTTTTTTTTTTTTTTTTTATCGAATGCAAACCGAGAAGTGAATTCTGCATGTTCCAGACTCCAGCAGGGTGGCAAGTCTCAGTGCACGTGGTAGTGAGAGGCCTTTTCCAACTATCTGGCAACAAGGCCTCTTGCCCGTGATGCTGTGGGCACTGAACTAAGAGCTGGAACTTGGAACGCTCTACCCTCTTCAGCTGCCTCAGTTCAATCCGTTTTCTGGCCTAGGACAAGGACCATTTCATTCTTTCATTTGTTCACTTAGCAAATATTTACTGATATTACACGGTACTTCCACCATGCCAAGGACCATGCAGGCTCCTTGGAGGTTAACATGGTCCTTGCTCTGGTGGAACTCATGGACCACATTGGGAGAGTCATTTGTTTACTGGCTGATCCCCTTAAACAAATGAGAAAGTGTTGAGACCAGCCCTGTACGTAGGCCACTATACGGGAGCTGCCTTAGAGAGAATGGGGACCTAGTGGCAGATGTCAGGAAATGCCTAGGGTCCATGAGGAGCTGGCCAAGCCTCCAGATCTGAAGATACATGGGCACTGAGGGAAAAGATCCAGGAAGGAGTAACAGAGTAGGCACAACTCTGGCGGGCAGCATGATAAACAAACCCCAAGGCCCAGGAGAGTGGGCACAAAGCAAGAAGAAGGCTGGGCTTCAGTTGGGTGTGAGGCCAAGACATGGGGCCCAAGCAAATAGCACCCAACTTCTGCATAGGTGGTCACATGGCGTGGAGCCTCCGAAGGCTTCAAGAAGGGAAGTGACATGATGTGACTGGAGATGTCCCAGTCACCTAGACAACTACCCAGCTGGCTCTGCTGAGTTGTGCCCATATCATCTTCCCTGATCCCAAGGCCTACCAAGCATCCCTCCCTCCTGGATCTCCCAGTTCCTCTGGCTTTTTTCTCCCCTGCCCTCAGGCTCTGTCGAAAACAGGCAGCCAGCAAGCCCAGCCTCGGCTCCATTGTTGAGCTCCCATAACATTCCCGCTCAGCCCTCAAATGTGATCAAATCCCTAGACAGAGCTGGGTCAAGTGAACCCCAACGGGAGGCCTCGCTAGCAGCCGGTGAGCTTCTCACATGGTGGGGATGAAAACTCGATGTAGGAAAAGAAGGCCTGACCTCAGTCTGAAGGGGAACCCTTCCTGATCTGTCTCCTTCAGTAAATGAATTCCGGGGTTCTCCACGAAGTTCCAGCGACAGGGCCCCAGGAGTTCTGACAAATTCTCTACAGGGAAGGGTATGGCTCCTTGGAACAGAACTGAGTTAAAAGAGCAACCCTGGTGGGCAGGAAGCCCTGTACTCCTGGTGCGGGGTCTGGAAGTACAACGTGCGCTTTGGGTCCAAGTTTGCAACGATCTGAGCGGCCCCAGGACACTAGTTTCGACTGCATCCATGAACTGTAGTGTTTTGCTCTGAGGTACAATGCAGGTCACCTCAAGACCCTGGGGACAGCTGACTGGAAAAACTCACTCCCATCCAGAATTTTCCCTGCCCTTTACCTTGCTTCTTCCTTCTCAGCCCTTTTTGTGTACCCCAGTTTTTGTTTCCAACTGTGAGTGCTCAGGGGACTCACCCAGACGGGGCTTTCAGAACAAGTCAGCACATCACAGAGATGCTCATGCATCATAGTTACTGCAGCTTTACTCACAATAGCCAAGCCAGGGAACAAACCCTGGTGTCCAGCCGCTGAGGGATGGGTAAGGAAGGTATGGTCTACATCCTACATACACAAAGGGTTTGTTTGGCTTGGTTTTGTGTCTTTTCAGCAAGAAAGAATAACCAAGTCATGTCCTTTGCAGGAAAATGGATGAAACTGGGAAAAATCATATTAAGTGACTCAAACCAGCCCCAGAAGACAAATACCATTTTTCTCTCGTGTGTGGTCCCCAGATCTTATAGAAACAAAAACCACATATGTATACGCCATGAACACAGAAGCAAAGCTGTCTAGGGGAACAGAGGACTAATTCTGGAGCAGGGAGGGAGGAAGGAGGGGGAGGGAGGAAGGAGGGGGAGGGAGGGAGGAAGGAAAGGGAGAGAGGAAGGAGGGGGAGGGAGGAAGGAGAGGGAGGGAGGAAGGAGGGGGAGGGAGAGAAGAAGGAGGGGGAGGGAGGGAGGAAGTAGGGGGAGGGAAGAAAGGACGGAAGAGGAGGGAGGGAGGGGGAGGGGGAGGGAGGGAGGGGGGAGGAAGGAAGGAGGGGGAGGGAGGGAGGAAGGAGGGGGAGGGAGGAAGGAGGAAGGAAGGAGGGGGAGGGAGGGAGGAAGGAGGGAGAGGGAAGGGCATATATTTAAAGTAGCTTATGTACTTGCATAAAATGTCCTTATGTAAAGCAACACTATATATAATTAATATATAGAATGGAAATTTAAAGATAAAAGACATTTAACAAATTTCATTGAGCAGACTAGGATAAAACAAAACAAAACAAAAACAGCATCTAGTCTCCCAAGATTGAATGTCAATGGTCTGGGGTACGGACTGAGCACACAGGTGTTCAAATGTTCCTGGTGACGTGTGGCACATAAGGCCTGTGGTTTGGAGGCCGAGCAACATTGGCTCCTCTGTAAACCAGTTCTCCGGGGCTCGGCTGTGAGGGTGTGTGTCCTTCGGTGCTTCTGCGTCCTGCGGTATCTGGCTTTCTTTCCTAAGAGCCCCTGCATTTGCTTCAGGACCACTCACCTCGTAGGGCTCCTTGGTGGCTCTGCACTTCTCTATCTGGTAGAGCTGGGTCTTGTAGCAGATGCTATCTTGGATGTCAGATTTCTACCGGGGGAAGAAATAAAAAGCACAGCTTAAGTCTTGGGACACGGAAACATCCACGACACCGTCGTGGATTTTTCAACCAGTGCTCAGCTAAGAAAAAGTCAAAGGCCAGCACACCAGCAAGCTTCAGTGCAAGGCCTCATCCCAGCACTGAGCATGAGGAGAGCCCGGGCCCGGAGTCAGGCAGCCCCGGGCCTGTCTCCGCTCTCCACTCGGGCCTTTCATCTGCCCAGTGTTTACTGCGGGAGGAGAAAGCGGAAACCAAATAATTAAGCTGGAAGAACAACCTACTTGCCACACTGAGTGGGAAGCGGCATGCTCCCTTGCTCACTGTAAACAGGGGCGGGAACGTAGCTCAGCTGGGAGAGTGCTTGCCTAGCACTCACGAGCTCTGAGTTCTGTCTACAGCACCAAGCGAAACCAGACACGGGGGCATACACCTGCAATCCCAGGGGAGCGGGTGCTGAAGGATCGGGGGTCAAAGTCACCTTTGACTATATAGAAAGTGTGAGGCTAGCCTGGGACAGGAGACCCAGTCTCAAACAAAGAAAACCAGCGTGAAACCACAGCACACAAAGGAAGGCCATGGCAAGCCACAGAGGAAGCTAGTGGAGGAGGAGGCTTACACTGCTCATCTCTTGAGTCTAAGTGGAAGAGAAGGGAAGACAGACAAACGGGGGAGATGGGCATCCGAGCTCACTGGATTTCAAAATCACACACGGGTCGTTAGTGATTGGCCAAGATTAACTGTGACAGTGCCCGCAGGGCCATTAACGGAGCCACATCTGGATGTTACAGAGTGGACCAGCTGCAGTCGTAGGCGGAGAGATCAGTCCACTCCACTTGCCTACAGCTTGGATTCTCAGTCCGGGTCCGTCTTACGATTGAAGAGTTAAGTGTCATTACTCAATAAATCCAAATGCTTCTCCAGTCAGAGCTGCAAGGTCTGGGTTTCCAAGGAATGCTTCCCAGGGGACAGAACCACATTCAGCTTTGCAACACTCAAAACTGATGCTAGAGAAAGTTGAAGAGAAGAAAAGACAGCAGAAGGCAAGGAGCCTGCGCCAAACAAGACACAGCCTAAGAGTTCCCGACACAGTGTCCCTCCTGCGTGACATGAGCTATGCCACAGAATCAAGAGCGTGAATGACCAAACTTGCTCCATGTAAATGTGGAAGTAGCCATGAGATACAGCTTCTGGAACAAGCACCCCTCCATCTAACTTTGAGAAACACAAAGACCTAGAACACCTGAGCCTGGAGCAACATTATTCAGTAACATACAAAACTAAGAACTTCCCTATACATCAGCCTCATCAAGACACTCTCAAATCCTGAATAGCATTTGTCATTTAAAAAACAAAATCAGTGTGTGCGCACCCTCCTCTTATTTGGGAACCATTTGAAAAATTAATTTTTAGCTTCTGGCATGGTCTCCAAATGATATTACCTGGAGCCTGAATGAAAAAGTTGTACAGAGGCATCTATAAGAATACTCATATTGATAATTTATCATGTATCACTGCACTAATACATCATCTACATCATAAAATATACAACCAAGTAGGAATTTAAAAGGATACAATGAGAAAGAGATTTGGAGATGCGGTCTCTTACAGAAGAGAATTGAAAAACAGCCTCAAATCCTGCCTGTCTCTTAGGGTCTTCTGATGAGAGCAGAGAGCCACTGTGTGGGATGGAGATCATCTTACCCCTCCCTTCCCACTCTGAAATAAGAGAACATACCACTGTGGTTTGCGTGGGGCTCCCGGAAGCTCACCTTCTGGAGCTTGGTTCCTCATGTGGCAGTGTTAAGAAGTGGGAGAGCCTTAACTTCCCACTCTCCCACAAAGGGGCCTGGCACAAGATAATCAAGTCATCGGGGGCATCGTTCATGGAAGGGACCGGTACTGTCTCATACAGTAGTATGTCAGTTACCGAAAAAGTGATGGTTAGAAAGTGAGGCACCATCCTCACTTGGCCACTCTGCCTGAAGTTATTTCCCTTCTCTGGCAAGTTGTGACAGAGAATGGGGACGATCCTCAGAGGCTAGGGCGTGATCTCAACTGTCACTTTCCAAAGCCATAGGCTCAAACAAGCCTTTTTTTAAAAGAGTATCCAGCCCCTTGGGTATTTTGTTATAGTAACAGAAGACACACAAACGTGTACACACACACACACACACACACACACACACACACACACACACACACAGTAATATATGTTACAATATATATTACATATTGCATAATATATATTACATATTAAAACTTCATTGTGGTTGCAGATCCTGTATTTCTATGTCAGTGTTAACTGTCAACTTGGCACAGCCTAGAAGCACTTGGAAAACAGTTTCAGCTGTGTGCCAGGCTGCTCTGTGGGCATGTCTGTGAAGGACTGTCTTGATTATTAGTGGATGCAGAGGGCCCAGCACACTGTGGGCAGTACCTCCCCTGGGCAGGTGGTTCTAGGCTGTGTAATAAAGCTAACAAGCTAAATTACAAGCCACTAGTAACAGTCCTCCATTGGTTTCCGGCTCCAGTTCTCACACTGACTGCCCTTGATGATGGACTGCGATGTGGAAGTATAAACTAAATAAACCTTTTTCTCCCCCAGTTGCTTTCTGTCAGAGTATTTTATCTCAGCACCAGAATAAGACTAAGATAACATGTCACCCGATGCCATTGTCCTGTGACTGACGGCCACCACAGAGGTACCATCTCATAGCCTCAGGGCTCAAGACGGGTCCCCACCAGAAGTACAAAACATTTATTTCCTCATGATCATTCTTCTTGTTTGGGAAAGCATTTTAGTGTTTCTTTTCACGTTCATCACACGTACATACACACACACACACACACACACACACACACACACACACACACACACATACATACACACGTACACACACATACATACCAAGAAAGCTCTGGGTGTATTTTCTTGGAAGCAAAATATAAGCTGAATCAGCTTGGGAACACCTGCACTTCCATCCAGATGTTTGGCTGACCTCCAGTCAAGCTTCCTCATATACATGTTATCTAACGACCTCTCGGCTTATCTGCTAACAAGAGCTTCCACAGGACCATCATGCCTCATGGACATTATTTTGGTCATTTCTGCTCTGTCAAGGGGATGCATTTCTCCAGCTGCAGACGAATTTTCATCTTTTGCTCTAAGATAGAAACTTTAAAATGTTTTTAAACCTATTGCTTGGTGGGATTTTGTGACCCATTAGGCTATTGCGTGACTTTAAACAGCACCGAACTATCTCTGGAAGTCTCTGATCTTACCATCAAGGGTCTGTCTTCCTAACAGAGACACACCACCAGATCTCAAGGTGCTATATACATAGGACTGAGGTCGTCTTTAGGAGAGAGGGTTCAATCAAATCTCAGGTGGGCTTCTGTCAACCTTGAGCTTCTCTGGTTGACTTCCTGTTAGAACTGGTTGGTACTATACCTACCCTTCTGCATTAATGTGGAACAGTTTTGCATAGACTCCATACATTGTCTTACAGAATTCTTTTCAAGAGACTGTCCATTTGGAGATTACTGACACATGAACTACTGTGGCCAAGATGATAAAGGTAGCTAACACTGGCGTACCACCATCTACCCATAAAGTGGGTATCCAAACTGTACTTCACATGCAGCACAAGGCACACCAGGTCTTTCTTTTATTTATTTACTTTTAGATTTTTTTTTAAATGTGTATGAGTGTTTTGCCTATATGTGTGTGCATCACGTGTGTGCCTTGTGTCAGAGAAGGCCAGAAGAGGGTGTTGGATCCCCTGGGACTAGAGTGTCATATGGTTATGAGCCATTTTGTAGGTGCTGGAAATCGAACCCAGGGCCTCTGCAAGAGCAACCGTGCTCTTAACTGTTAAGCCACCTTTTCACTTGGACTTTTTAACATCTGGCCTTGTGAAGTTGTCAGAGTCAACCCAGTGAAGCCCATTGTGTTCTTATTTTCGGGAGAAGTAAACCTAATATATATATATATATATATTCTCTTAGTACCTGGTTCTGGGGCCTCCTGCAAATCCCAGTTTTGTGTAAGTCATTTACAGGAAATCATACAATATTTGCTTATAACTATGCACATCTTCCACACACTTTAAATCTCTGAATTACTTACAATACCTAATACAATGCCCGTGCTATGCAACTATTGTTTAGGGGATAATAAGAAAGAAGTCTGCACATGTTCAGCACTAACACAATATTCTAAATATTTTGGATCTGTGGTTGGTTGAATCCTGCAGACACAAGTCATCAGAGAGGGCCGCCCAGTGGCTTTTCCACACCCCATACTTTATAGATGCAGGCACGGCTCCACAACTTTTAATAGCAGGGAAGGCTCCAGTTCCTCTAAAGCTGAGAACCCGAAGAGCTAACAGGTTGACAGGGTACGGACAGACAACTGAGAACGGAATACAGACAAAGCTCAAGCCCCTCAGGAGTCAGCTAGGGCTAAATGTTAGGAGAATCTGGAACACATCTCAGGTCAGGAGCACCGTCTACAAAACCGGGTTTTGCGAGTACTTTATACACCACATTCCAGAGACTCGGCCTCATGTTTTAGGCTAAAATAACAGCATGGATCAAGTGTCAATGTCTGCGCCACACTAGACAGAAGAAACTCCTCCAAGGTCCCACTTACCCCTGACAAATAGCGCTCGAGTTTCTTGTTTAACAGGAAGTAGATGGCCAAGATGTGGCAGGCGCGATTGGAGAGCACCGTGTTGATGACGTCGCTGTTCTTGTAGCCCAGCTTTTCAGTCATGTGCAGCACCACACTGGGGCTCAGGTCTTCTAGAGAAATCCTGTGAGGGGTAGACACAGAGACCCCAGTCACCTCTCCACCTACACAGAGTGGCTCACAAATGTGGCAGACATGACTGTTTGCTCAGTCACTCATTCACTTGATTTTTTTTATTTTTATTTTTTTTAAGTCAGGGTCACATGCAGCCCAGGCTGAGTAGCTGAAAGAATGACCCTGGGTACCAGAGCCTCCAGTGATTACGTCCTGAGTTCTCTGATTGGACGTAACACACTGCCATGTCTGCTTTATTTGGTGCTGAGACAGAACCCAGGGCTTTGTTCACACCAGGCAGCCACGGTCTCAAACTGAGCTACATCTCCAATCCCACTGGACTTTTTATTTTGAAAATTTTCATGTATATATAAAGGTGGTGGGTTTACTATATAATGTATCTTATATACCTGTGGGTTCCCCATAGGATTCAATTAATCAGGGGAAAAATACCATATTGATACTAAACGTAAAGGCTTTAATTGCCACTATTCCCTAAGCAATACAGTATAACAACTATTATAAATCACCCAGAGGTGATTTAAAGTGTATGGAAGAATGCGTATGGTTCATGTGCAAACTATGCCTTTTATACAGGAGACTTTAGTGTCTGTAGATTTTGGGGTGGGGCGGGTGTTTGAAAGCAGCTCACCATGTATCCCTGACTGTCCTAGAACTCACTGTGCAGACCAGGCTGTCCTAGAACTCACCATGTAGACCAGGCTATTCTAGAACTCACTATGTAGGACCAGGCTATCCTAGAACTCACTATGTAGACCAGGCTGGCCTCAAACAGACAGAGATTGCCTGCCTCTGCCTCTGCCTAAGTACTGGAATTAAAGGCGTGTGCCACTACACCCAGTGTCTACATAATTTTAGTCTTTTCCGGGTGCAATCATAAGAATTACCCCACTGATACAGAGGGACGCCTGTGATTAGCATGGGTGCACCATCACCTGGGTGTACTTCGCCATGCTTGCTTCATTTTGGGTTGTTAAATATTTCAAATTGTAGGCAGCGTGCTATGTCATTTCTAAACACTTCAGTGTGTACCCTTAAAACCAAATGACAGCCAAACCTGGTAGCACAGGCTTGTCATTCCAGCTATTGGAGAGACTCGAGCAGGAGGATTCCAAGCTGGGTTACACAAACTTGTCACAAACCAAAACCAAACTAAAAATGAATACGTGAGGCACAGTTGTATGAGAACTCTTGGTGTCTCCAATGAGAGCAAACCCAGGTGAGACCCTCACTCATGTCCAGTCAAATCATGGCCACGTTGGTATGACCCCACTCCCTGTATGCTGCCTCAGACTGTGTGGGAAGGTACAGTGTGCCACCCTAGCAGGAACAGAGGGAGGGATGGAGGTAAGCGGAAGGGCATGAACAGGGGCAGACACTTCATCTCAGCCCTTTATATCTGTTGTCTTGAAAGCCAGGAGACTCCCCCCAGAATGTAGGCTTTTGACTGAGAGTCATATATGTCTTGAACCTTTTCTGGTAATGTATATATTTGGTTCTGATATATCTGTTATTGAATCTTTATATTAATGGCTGATATAGAGACTGGAACACCTGCAATAAGCTATAAGCTTCTAGCTTGCCTGGGTTGCATAGTGAGCATCAGGCTACCCTGGATCATATAACAAGACCCTGTAACAGAGAGCAGAGAGGAAAGAAAGGAACAGGAAGGAGGAAAGCAAATGTTCTAGAATGCAAATTATGATTGAGCTAAGTAAATTCATATTAAATTGCTTTGATACCATTTTGGTTTCATTCCGGCCCATCTACAGAATTGACTGTGGGTGTGGGCTGTCCAGGTCCCACAGGGAGACAGGAAGAGGAAGCAAGGCCTTCTCTATCAGAATGTCTGTGTCTACACCAGGAAGACTGGCTAGGCACCCAGCCAACACCTGTTGACCGGCTGGGATAAGTATTTACTGTAAAATATTTCTTACAACATTATTCCGTCCTACCCTTTGGAGATCAGCTTGGAAGCCAAATGACTTCACAGGAGAAAGTTGTGCAGAAGAATGGTGTGAAACTAGGGGGCTTTATTTTCTTTACTTTCCCAAAGGGAAAGAAACCCTGGCAACATTCAAACTAATTAACCCAAGGACAGCAGTACTGGGAAACTAGAAAAAGACAGTTTATAACCTATATATAAATGTGTCTTTGGCTGTATGTTTCTTCTCCTTTTATTTAAGGGATGGTAAAACCAGAAAAACAGTTACCAGAAATATATATATATATATATATTTATTTATATTTATATATATAATATATATTGCCTCAAAGATTAACACTTTTTCAAATGAAAACTGTAAATAACACATATCTCATCCCAATTTTAGAATTTATTTAGACTAAATTTAGAATTCTGGTCTCCTATCTTAGAAACAGAATCCTGTTTTGTCTTTTGTCTACAATAAGTCACAGGCCTTAGATAACGGAATACACCAAGCTTCTATTTTCTTTAAACAAGACCTTTACCGCTTTTACCATTTATTAGCTAGTTGCTCTCTCTCTCTCTCTCCTCACACACACACACACACACACACACACACACACACACACACCTTCACAATTCACACACACACACACCCTCACATTTGCACCCTCATAATACACACACACCCTCACATTTGCACCCTCATAATACACACACACCACACACACATTTACACATTCACACACTCACATACAATACATTTACACACACACACACACACCACACACACACACACACACACACACACACACACACACACACACACTACCCAAGCTGGCTAAACCAGGATAAGGAATTGAATCTGTTTACCTCACCCAAGCCTGCCTCCTGTCCCCTGTGGAGAGGCTGCAAAACTATAAGCCACATTCTAAGTCTTCTAAAGTCACTGAAGAGGCAGTTAAAGGGAGAGGCTCTCTCTGTTTCCAGTGCCAGCTCCAGGGCCTTCGACAGCCCCTGTGTCGATGTGTGGATGATGTGTGGATGCGTTATGCTCATGTAGACAGTGACTACATTAGCTAATGACGTGGGTCATCACCGAAGCCACTTCTGCACCAGAAAGCAGCCTGCACGCTGTTCTGCATGGCCCCCAGCTTGTCTGCAGGCTCACAGGGGGATAATTTTTCGGGTGTCTGTTTCCGTGCCTGGCCCAAACGGAGCAGGTATTGGAAAACAGTGTCTATTTCCAGGTTCCCTTGACAACCTTGGTAACCCAGACTTGGTCTAAATTACCATCCATGAGCCAAATGCTAGAGATGGTGACTGATAAAGTCACCTCCTCTACGCCCAGGGCAAGAGTAAATTTGGTCAAGTAGCCTGGATGCAGATCCCGAGAATGTCCACCCAGGCGCTTTGAGCAAGTCCCTCCAAAGTGACAGTCCTGTTGCCCATCTTGTTTAAGGGACTTGGTGGATATTTCTAGACCTTCTTGGCCCAAGACTTAGGGATTTTCAAAAATACGGCCACAGAGAATATCCCTTCCCTGTCTCTTTGTCTGTAGTACTCTGATCCTCATCCAAGTTTGGAAGAATTTGTAGGGCTCTCAAGAGTTTAAAAAAAAAAAAAAGAAGAAGGGAAATGGGTTATCTCAGAAGGCTGGAGTCAGGCGGTCTCCATATGTACCAAAGGGAGGGTCCTTGTCCCTCACTCAGAGGGTTAAGAGTATGAGAAATGAGTCCAAGAGCACAGGGAAATGCTGCTTGTGCTGGCCTTCCAATCTGTAGTCTGCACCCTAGCGGAGACGGGCCAGGGGGACTGACTCTCAGTGCACCCGTCTGTGACCCTCCCTCGGGGTCCCTTCTCACGGAAACTGGGAGGTAAAGCCTCCACAGCAAGCCCACAATATGGCCGCTGAAGTAAATGATCTGACCTTGTGTGCGCCCATTCCCATGACTTTCAAGCGAGGGACTTGGAGCTGAAAGACACATCGAGACTCAAGCAGCAGAAGATATGTCTAAAGGGTGATTTGAAAGATTCGGTTCCATGGGATACGAGAAGTTTAATGTTGGCAGAGGACCTCATGGGTAGATTCTCTCTCTCTCTCTCTCTCTCTCTCTCTCTCTCTCTCTCTCTCTCACACACACACACACACACACACACACACACACACACACACACACACACGACATCGTTCATTTAAAAGGACCCTTTAAATGAACTAGAAGTGTCCCTTAGGGAATATGTAACCCATCAGAGCAAGGCTTGGTGAGGGGGTGTGTCCTGTAGCTCAGCTTCCATTCCTCCAACCAGGCTCCACAGGACCCACTTGGCATGAGCGCATAGGGTAGCCCTGGTTGCATCTTCTCGCCCAGTGAGATGGGCCTGTCTGCAGGTGAGTGGCCGCCGAGGTGGGTCCGGAGGGCTCACGGGGCAGGGCCCATCTCACTGGAGAAGGTGGTCCATCCGGCAGCACTGGTTTACCTGTTGGGATAGGTGACATTGCAGGGCACTTTCCCGGTGTAATTCTCATTCAGCCAGCGATTCGCCAGGGCTTGCTGAATATTTGGCCTCTTCACGGGATCTGGTTCCAGGAGAGAGCGCAGGAAGTTGATGGCCCCTGTGAGACAGGCAGCGAAGAGCCCGCGTTAGAGACAGAACATGGCAGACACTGTGGCTGCAGACCCCAGTCTTCCACTTCCTTAGCCCCTCTGAGCCTCCGCTTGTGGGGTCTCCGGCAGGGTGTTGTTCTGATAATTCACAGATCATGAGTTCAGTCCCCACCTTCGGATACCTGGAATTTTAAATTCCATTTCCTCCACACTTATCTTTTAAAGAGCTGCTATATATCCAAAGAGCTTAAGGGATCGGTCCACACCAGGTACCCGAGACAGCAAGAAGCAGTTTGCTCTCCCCGGACCATGCCTTTCTGGAACAATTTGTGGGATCTTGTAGTCACTCAGAGATCAGCCACAGAGAAAAACTATTTATACGCAGAGGATAAAAGAGTAGAAATGGAAAATAAGTCCAATATCATGGTGGTGACTGAATAATCGGAAGGAAGAAATGAATGAGTCTGAATCAGACCCTTGAGTTTGATCCTTACCATAGGCACCAGGTCTCATAAGGTCAATGAGGTGCTTTATGACTGAATGCTTAATTGATTGCTTTGTTTAATGTCCCAGGGATTAAGCCTGAGGCATCATACATGCCAAGGGAACATCACTTAGCTACATTTTCAGCCCTACCTGACTTTTTATTTTGAGATAGTCTCTCACAAAGTAGCCCAGGGTAGCCCTAAACTCCCTCTGTAGTCCAGGCCCCATCTCGGCTTCCCTAGTAGCTTGGATTACACATGTACATAACCAGCAGTTCATTCTTGTTTTTTCAAAGCTAGTCTCTACTGCCTCTCACACTTCCCCCAAACTGTGTGAGATTATTAGACAGTGCCCAGGCTACCTGAACCCATGCTCAGCTAGCCAAGTGTATCAGGCTGACATCACATCAAGAAATCTGCATGCTTCTATCACAAGTTTCTAGCAAGCAGAACATAGCAAAACCACGCCCATCTGATACTATCCCTTAAAAAGAAGGGGATGCCTGAGCAGAATGTATGCCAATAGCATTTGCTCTCATTTTCAGCCTAAAGACCTGGTATAGTAACGCCAGCCACACCGAACCACAAGTGTAAGGAAGGATGTAAAAACCATTGACAAAACTGTAAAAGCCTCATGGCCCCTCTTACTTCTATCCCAGGCACAAGTAATTTGTTTTAATACCCTGGGTCTCCTTTCATTAAACAAGCACTTTCAGAACACCTGTGATCTACCCCAACACTAGAGACAGGAAGCTGGATGTCTGCATCCTTTAAGATCACAACAGGAGAGACAACTGTACAACATGCAAAACTGTATTTTGGAAGGTCTCAGGTACAGAACTGTTCAGTGAGAGAGTCTGCACACAGACAGAGAGCCCAAACATACACAGAGAGGACAGAGAGTGAGAGTCCACACACACACACACACACACACACACACACACACACACACGCACGCACGCACACACACAGTGAGAGTCTACACACAGACAGAGTAGGAGTCCACACATGGACAGAATGAGAGTCCATACATAGACACACAGAGTAAGAGTAGAGAGAGAGAGAGAGAGAGAGAGAGAGAGAGAGAGAGAGAGAGAGAGAGAGAGAGTCCACACATACACATACAGAATGAGAGTCCACTCACACACACACAGAGTGAGAGTCCACACACAGACAGTGCTGAGACATCTCTTCATCCTCAACATTGTTAGTTTTATAGCTAAGTCTCCAAATAAATTTTTCCTAAAATCTCCCAAAAAAGAAGTTCCTAGTTTTTGAAGGAGTATTTCCCTCTTCTCTGCACCCCAAAACTACAGGAGTCACTTGAGGATTTTTTGGGGGGAGTTGGGTTTTGTTGTTGTTGTACGATGTGTGCACCCACAGGAGGGCGGGCACAGATGTCAGAAGATGGCGCCAGGTGTCCCGCTCTATCATCCTTCACAGCAGGGTCTCTTCACTGAACTTGGAGGCCATGTCTCTTCACTGAACTTGGAGGCCATCGAGACCCAACAAATCCTGTCTCTGCCCTCCACACAGTGGGCTTACAGACACCTGCACAACTAAGTCGGGCTTTCTAATGTGGGATCTGGGGATTTGAACTCCGATACTCCTGCCTGAACAGCAAGCCTCTCTTACTCACTGAGCCATGTCTCCAACCCACCACTTGGACCTGAACCAGGGGCATCCATTGTTCAAGGGCCAAGGGGTGGGAGGAGGTACTGAGTCAGGGTGCCTTCTGAGATCTCTGATGCCCACCCCTAAAAGTCAGGCATCCATTCACAGCCAGAGCTGGGCTGTGAAGGATGATTAACCAGAAGAGCTAAGGATACCCGGATGTGTGTTTCTCTCTATGGTCCCCATCAAGTGCTCTAAACCTTCACCAACTGCTGATAAACACACATGATTTTAGTTCAAGTCTCTGCTGACAGCCATACACCTCTGGACGTCACAGACATCACATCACTATCCCAAAAAGACTTTATGAACATCCTCAGAGTGTTTCCAGGTCTGTCCTTGGATCTTGAAATATCTGTGGCTCCGGGGCCAGGAGAGGACTACACATTCCCCATCAAACCAGAAAGTGGAATCTAGCATGGTCACTGGCCACCCTCCCCTGCTGCAAGCTGACTCTTGGGCTCTCTACTCGAGCTGAGAGAGCTGAAGTCAGCTGAATGGGGACTCGTCACCTGCACGTGATGGGGGGTAGGCACTGCTGCGGGGCCAACACCCTTTCTTTCAGCAGCACTCAGACGTCTCAAGTCTGAACCGGCCTATGGGAGCACTGGACATTGCCAAAAGCAAGGGCTGCAGGCAACAGACAAAGCCACCTGACGTTCCAGCACACAGCCAGATGCAAGCAGAGGCCTGTCCTCGAGGGAGGCCGCCTTCTCATCACCTCTCAGCGAAGAATCCCTTGACGAGGGATGGTTAAGCCTTCTTGGAAATCTTAACGGGTCCCAACACCTTCAGCAATGCCAACGTTTCTTCCTCAGCTTCTCTCTTGGTGTAACCGTGGGACAAAATCCTCTTAATTGGAAGTGTCTGTTTGGAATGTATTATAAATGCTATTCCTATGGCACCATGATGAAAGAGTAAACTGTTGGAAAAACCTCTCAGCCGCGAAAGGCATTCGCTAACTCTGTGATATGCAAGAGCCAACTTGCAGAAGGCGGAAACCAACTAGAAGAGAGCTGGAAAGGCCCCAAAGCCGAAGGTTTCCAACTCTATGATGGGAACAAGGAGGCGTTCTCTGCACATTTCCCAGGTTCATAAGGGCAGGAGTGCTGTAACTTTTTCCAACTGAAATTTGCTAAAAGTAAAAATAAATAAATAAAACTTGGAATTTAATCTAAATGGAATAAGATTTAATTGATGTAATCATTGCACATAGGATTGACAGAATATCAAATTAATGAAGATATGTGCTCCTGATAGATGGTAACATTGGTGTATGGTGATATTTTATTTGTACTAAAATGTTATTTGTATGTTAATAAAGTTGCCCAAGGGTCAGAGCTATTAGCAAGCCATAGGAAAGCTGGGCAGTGGTGGCGCACGCCTTTAATTCCAGCACTTGGTAGGCAGAGCTAGGTAAGTCTCTGTGTGTTCAGGGATACAGTCAGCATTGGATACACATGCCTTTAATCTCAATACCAACCATAGAAGACCTGGAGGTCTGTACAGACAGGCAGTGACGAGGAGGTCATGTGGTTGGGTTTACAACCAATGAGAAGGCAGAACAGAAAGTCTATATAGACTTTAACACAGGAAGTAGCTCTCTTGTGGAGAGGTAGAACCACCGCAGGAGGAAGGGAAAGGTTTTAGCTCTTAGCTCTGACCTCTTGGCTTTCTTCTTTGCATTGGTTCTGTGTTTCTTATTTAATAAGACGGTTGGTTACATCTACAGTATTACATTGTTAAATGTAATACAGTTAGAAATATACATATAGCATTTTCTAACATTGGTGCATTTTCAATTTGCAATGACATCACTCAGAACACAAGACCTGAAGACAAGAGATAAGACTTGCAAGTTCATGGGCGATGGAGGGGATAGACCGTGAGTTAAATAAGGAAAGGGGGCCAGAGGGATGGCTCAACAGTTAAGAGGGAGTGATGCTCTTGCAGAGGACCCAAGTTCAGTTCCCAGCACCAATGTTAGGCAGCTCATTACTCCAGCTCCAGGGGATCAGACACCCTCTCTGGCCGCTGCGGGTGCTGCACACATATGAGCACGTGTGGGGAGCGGGGAAGATAGGGGATGGACAGGCATGTTTTAAAAATAAGGAAAGGGAAAAAAATAGCGTAGTACCAAGGAAAATCCAGGTTTTCAATCAAGCTAACTTAGTCACTCTGAGACTCTGTTTCCCCATTGGTAAATTGGGAACAATGGCATTTACCTTGCCTGACTGAGTGAAAAGGTAGTAACAAGAAAAAGAACTTCATTCTTCTGTTCCGTGAAAGGGTAGCTTCTCCTGTTACTGGTAAACTAGTATTTCTGGATATAACAGATGATATCGTAGACGAGCAAAGGTGGACCTGGCTTGTTGCCATGGCCTGCTTCTCCTACAGCCTGTGTGCGGCTCACACTAGTGCTGTCCACATATACCCGTGGTGGTGGGGGAGAATTGCTCCACCCCTATTGCCTGACTGAGGCCATGTGCCATGCTTAAATACAGAAGGCATGGGGTTTTTTTTGGCTGGGCGGGGACCTCCATCTTCACCTTCCCTGCATGGACCAGCAATGGGTTTGAGATCCCACTCGGGCTCAGAACTCTTCTATCCTTGATCCAACTTCCAATTAATATAAAGCACAGGAAGCAAGCCCTTGTGGTAGTAAGCCACTGAGAACTGGGAATGACTGTTAATATTTTGACCCAACAATTTTGCTCTTAGCCATTGTCTTACAGAAACCACATTCACACAAACGTCTGGAGGTGAGTGCTCCTAGCAGCTTTATTCAATAGCAGTCCTAAACTTGAAATGGTCCAGTGGTCCTTCAACGGGTGAATGGTTAAACAAACTGTGGTATGTCCATACCTGGGAATACAACTCAGCAATGAAAAAAGAATTCTGATGTATCTAACCGCTACAATGGATCTTAACACAATTGGAGCGAGTCAGGGGATTTGTACACAGTCTCCATCTCTATAATTCCTTCATTTCCAAAAATGAAGAGGGATGAAGAAAGGACAGTGGCCAGCAGGGGTCCACAGAGGGGAAGGGAGGGAGGTGACAATGGCTGCACTGGGAAGGAGAGAGGTCCCTGTACTGCAACTGCATGTCTTGATGATACTTTGCTTAAGCCACCAACACTACCACCAACTATCTGACTTGTTTACTTATCCACATATGTGTGTGTGTATACACATATACAGATCTATGTCTATGTATATATTTGCCTCTCCCGCAGATGTATACCCTCTACAGGAGTAGAGGCTAAATGTGGTTCATCCACTCTCTTTCTGGTATCTGGAACATACCTGGCCATGTGCTTGGTTGTCATGGGCTAAGAGAATGGCTATGAAATGATGAATAAATGGATGGATGAATGAACGCTTCCCACGGTGATTTATGGCACCTCCCAACACTTCAGAATGCCCAGAAGCCTCAGTGTGGCAATTCCTTCAACACATTGTGAGTTTCCTAACTCCATGAGGGAGGGCTCCCAGTGCAGAAATATTTCTCCCAGAAGTCAGTACTGTAACCTCTCTTCCAAGGACACAGTGCCTCCCTAGCACTCAACCTCCAGGGATTATACATTACTTGAAAGGTCAAAGTGTAGCTAGATTGGATCACTATGCCCAAGAACTCATTTCAAGTTGGATCCACTGACAAGAGTATACCTCAGGTCAATTTTCCAGACGCTTAGAAACCCAAGGGAAAAATACTTAGCAGCAAAATAAAATGCTCTATTTTATCCATGTCTCAGGAAGGGAAAAATTAAATAATTATCCTTTCTTTGTCAAAAGCCTTATTTCAGTGACCCTAGATTTATTCTAACAGAACACTTAAATGGCCCCTCTGAGCTGGGACTAGGCCAGGAACTTGGTGTGAATTGTGAACCAAATAAAAGATCAGATCCTATTAATTTACTGGGTCTGAAGACAAATCCTTATTTGAGCCTTTTCCTGCAATATAAAGCTGCTAATGTCTGAGAGAAGTTCTCAAACACAGCTCTGCTTTATTGTAATGAAGTAATCGAATCTACATATACCTGAAAGCTTTCGAACAGCCTCAAAAATTCACATGATAAAAACACATCACAGACCCAATACTTGAATGACACCAATATTTCTTTACAGTAAACTGACTAAAGAAAATGTTCCTTTCCAAGACAACACTGCAAAGTGGCGAGCCTGCAGCTACTTCTCCAGCAAAGACTGCAAGGCCCTCTTAAAATACGCGTTTTGTACCGAAGACAGAAGGAGGGAATTAGAGCTTCCAGATTACCAGGGCAGAGGAGAATGCACTTGCATCAGATGGGCCAGCTCCTTAGGGGTGGGAAGCCCAGCAATCTCTGTCGTTCAGACATGGGGAAGGAAATCACCTCAAACAACCACTTCCAAAACGGTCCAAACCTGTCAAAGCACAGGTGCCCCAAGCCTGAACCCAGAGCAGCAGGTACATTACCTGTGGAGAGCTGGGTGGGGAGAGGGTTCATTTCTTTGTCCACCATCTTCTGGTACAGAGCCCTCAGGCTGAAAGGCTCCACTGTGAAAGGCAGGGTCCCGGTCAACATAGCGTACATGTTCACGCCTCTGAAAAGAGACACACCAAAGTGTGAGGTCAGAAGCGGTCCCGGGGTGCAGAAGACTAAGAGCACCCAGACAGAGCCCGCTTCCTGGCCTCTGCCCCTGGCTGAGTCACCTTTCGAGAACCCTCTCGTCATGTCACAGTTGAAGTGTGGATACCGGAAAGGCTGGGGTGAGAGCACTGTGTAACGGAGGGCTCGGAGATGAGCAGGAACAGGACGGGCTGGTGCTGGAGGAGAAACCACACTGCCTTCACTCTGAATTCAGGCTGAGCATCGGCTGGAAATTCAAAACCCCTTGACGCCCACAATGAAGCCACAAGCAGAAAATTCCACCTGTGGCTTCCTGGGGCCGGTTGTAATGCACCAAGGGTACTGTGTCAAATCACCTTCGGGCTGTGTCTATAACGCGTAGGTGAAACACTGACCTGTGTCCCATACCCAGAATAGTTCACTCATATATGCAAAGATTCCAAAACCAAAATTAGTTCTGGTCCTAAGCAGTTTGGACATGGGACACTCCAGTTGTAGTAAGAAGACATCAACACCAGAGAATTCCAGATGGAAGTATGTGGAACACACTGTTAGGATCATCAAGAGTGATCCCACCAGCCTGTAATCTTTCCAGATACTCCATACAAGGTAGAATTTAGAAGGAGCCAGATTAAATGATACAAGGCAAGATCCACCCCTTCAGGGTTAATGAGGGCTTCCACTTACCACGCAGCCCTTTGAAACCAAAACTCCACACCCAAAGCCAGTCTTTTATCCATCTCTTGAATTTTGCTCTGGATTGTCACTAAGGGAAGTCCTTCCCAGGCTCATTTGTCATTTGATTATTTGTTGTGCAATCTGTCACCAGGCCCTGGCCCAATATATCAGGTATGGTTGAGCTATTGCTGGGTGGACTTAACCGCTTATAACCAAAGCCAACCCAGAGGACAGCGAATTTTCTGGGAGGATTTTATTCTCTTGATGTATAAACCTACTATCATGTTGATGAGATTTCCTGACGGGGAAGAAATGCCTGCTTGCCAAGAGGTCTCTGCTGTTCAAAGGCACCCAGGGCGGATGTGTTTTTAAAAACAGGCAACAGGATTTCCAGTCAAAACAGAGTCAATGAGACTGACTGAAATTAAGACCCTTCAAGCCTAATTCCACAGAAGCGCCTCTGAATTATGCATTTCATGTAATGGCAGGTACTGGAGTCCACAGCTCCAGTCTTAAGCACTCTCAGATTTCAAACGTAAGCTGAGGCCCGGTTCTCTCTCTGAACTCAGAATGGAGCCAGGGAGACGGACACACATTCATTCCACAGATTCTTGCTGGATGCCTCTCTCTGACTGACAGTACTGTCAGCCAGACCACGATGCTGCCATTTTGGATTCGGAACTAGAGAGCCACAGGCAGTGGGCAAACACACAAAATAAATAAACACCACCCTTCTGAGTGAAATGAGATTAGGGAGAGCAAGACAATGCTGGACTGCACTGCTTTGGACACAAGAGTTCAGTTAAGGAGACCGAGGACTTTTAAGACTGGGAAGCCTCTCGGGGAAGTGTTTTATGGATGAGGTTATGCATCTTCAGTTGGCTGGACATGGCCATGTGACAAATTACATAAACCAAGAAACAAGGGACAAGAACAGACAAGGCAGGTGCTTGGTCGCAGACAGCAGTGATTCCTGGTGTGTGTTCAGTGCAGCAACACATTCCACAGGGCACAAATAGATAGGAACAAAGAGTTCCACAGCCAAACAAGTTACTTACACGGTGACTCACCCTCACATGTAAGTGAACAAAAGGGGGTCAGAGTGGAGAGCTGGAGACCGTGGTGCCAGCACACAGTACTGCTCTAAGTTGGAATGAGATGAGAGACTTCACAAAGAAATCGAGTGGGCGACGGAGACATAGGAAGGGGTACACCAAGGTAAAACTCAGAAAAAAAAAAAAGCCAGATCAGCCATGGTGACAGATGGACCTGAGTAAGCGGAGGGAGGCAGTTTGGACGGGGAGGGCAGGAGAGCCGGAGCTGGGACTTGCCTTAAAGACCCATTGTGCAGGGTTGCATCTTTCATGTGTCTTAGGTAGAGCCAAACACCTGGCTTTGGGGGAGCCTTCGGCACTGATAGAAAACTAAGAAGTCTCAAAACTATACAATCTGTATCTACAGAGAGGCCTCAGACACGGGCTCTAATGAATGGAAGACCTCTGGCCTCTTCCACAGTGACTGAGGACCACTGAACAGTCATCTCCGAGATAAACTGATCCCGGCAGCCTGGAGGCAGCCTGTCCCGTGCAGGGCTGAATGAGGAGCGCGGTCAAATACTAAGCCAGAGTCTTTGTCTTCTGTACATGGCTTCTGAACAAGACCAGCTCTATTGTTATTACCATCCCATGAGGAAGAGACCAACACGGACTTAATACGTCAGTGATGCACCTGCAAGAGTCTCCTGCTAATCACAATGGTGCACACTTCCCCGACTGTGGTCCTCACCCTAGCGCATCAGCACCACCCGAACACTTGAAAGTGCGAATTCCCAGGCCTAGCTCCAGACTGGAGTCAGAAACTCCCAGACCAGACCTTGTAATACGTAGTTTAACAACCCCTCTGGGGTCAGTGAGATGGTCCAATTGGTAATGGTGCTTGCCAGGCAAGCCTGGTGATCTGGGTTTGAGTGCCGAAATGCATATAAAAGTTAAAGAAATGACTCCACAACGTCCTCTGATTACCGTGTGCCCGCTGAGATGTGAACCTCCCTCCCTCTCTCTCTCTCTCTCTCTCTCTCTCTCTCTCTCTCTCACACACACACACACACGCACACGCACACGCACACGCGCACACACACACACACACACACACACACACACACACATCACATACACAAATGCACTCATGTGCAATAATAACTTTTTAAAAACGTCTCTCTGGATGCACTCTGGTTTAAAAGCTAATGGGAGGATAAATTCTAAGTGGTGGGTGAGTCCAGTCATCATAGTGGGCCTGACGGGAGGACTAGCAGGGAGGACTATACAGAGGACAGATGGCAATCCGGCTCCTCTTCGGCACTGGCTCCATTGCTTATGCCAATGTCCTCATCAGAATATGCTGGGGCTCCTTAGTCTTTGTAATATTAGTATGTAAATTAGTTTGGGTATTTTCATTATACAAGGTCATACATTTATTGAGCCTAATTTTGAATTTATGTGCTCATAACACTTAAACAAACAAAGCAAAAAACCACCTAGGTCAACATGGGAGGATGTCAAGACCGTTCTCCCTCTCAGAGGGCAGCATATAATACTCAAGCCTTTTAAGACACAACCCTGTCACCTTTCACGTCAGGTCTTATCTTTTGGGAACATGTGGCTTCTTTGTCACAGGTGGAGTGCTCTGCATGCTACAGAAAGCCTCCAGGAGCAGAATGCTGTGTGGTGGGGAAGGAACCGGCTGAAGGGGTTGGTTGAATGTCTGAACCAAGAAGAACAACTCTAAAACCACTACGAAAGTTTCTTCCGGGAGACAGTTTTCTGAGACAGAAAATCACCTGGCTCCTTATCACCAGTTAGCTTCAAAGGACAAAAACAAACAAAACAAAACAAAACACCACATGTCCCTGCACAGCACACTGGTCTCTCTCTCTCTCTCTCTCTCTCTCTCTCTCTCTTACCTATTTCCGACCACAGATAAGGATGAAGGATGCTGTGCTCAAGACGGCACCAGGTAACTCCAACCAGCCAGGAAGATCTTGACTGCCTTACCCAAAGGCTTCCAGTTATTATGGAGTGATCAATTACAAACTCACAAATGCTAAGAGATCCCTCTCACTTCATCCCCAGGACATTTACCTTTACAATGTAGATAATACAAAGGCCGAATAACTGAAACCATAGGAGGAGTGGAATTCTGTGTTGGAAGTAAATTAAACACCAAATAAATCTTCTCTGTCGTTACATTAAAAACAAACAAACAAACAAAAATGCCACCTTTTTAAATAAAACAAAACAACAAGAAGAATTACAATTGTATTTGGGCACTATTGCAAATGATAATGGAAACCCACATTAATAGTCGGATAGCCTCAGGAGAGTTTAAAAGAGAAATCAGATTGAACACCTTAATTCCTCTCTCCTAGAGTTTTCATCCATGTTTAATATGTGGTTAAAGAGAGACACAGCCCCTCTGACATTTCACAAGTATGCGAGAATACCAAGGGAGATGTGTGGAATGCAGTTTATAAACCCCTGTAATCCCATAGAATCAGGCAGAGTTTCAAAACATGCGCAGAATTTCCTGAAAAGCCTTTTGAAATATGGCCCAGGGGTTTCCTGGGTTCTCTGCGGCAGACATGGAACTTCTGTGACTCCAAGATAGCTTTGAGAAAAGCCAGCGATGACAGGGACAGGGACAGGGAGGGCAGCACTCCAATGGTGCTGTTTTCACAACCAACAAGGAACACAGGGGGCCACGGCAGGGTGGAAAAGCCTAAGGGATAATGGATGTCGCACAACAGTCTGATGTTGAAAGAGAAGGAACCGGTGACAGTGACGGGCAGCTGGAAGAAGGAAAGGGCCCCGTGGAGAAGAGTGTGGAATCTTCGGTACTGAGTCAGAAGGCAAATGCTGGTCCTGATAGTCTGACACATTCAAATACTCCCTGGAGGAAAAGCTGCCATCTCTGAGAAGAAAGACACTGAGTCCCTCCTCCCTGGAGAAGGGACCAGAAACTTTACCCAGGGACAAGGAACAACGTGAGTGTCAACTCTGCCAGCAGGCGGAGAGTGAGGTACTTGTCCTGGGGGCATGTGGCCAGGAGCCTTGGCAACCACCTGGCTCACACAGAGAGCAGGTGAGGGGATCGCATGCACACCTGGTTCTGTGTTGTTCTACAGGAAAGGAATTACCTCGAAAAACTTAAAATTAACCCCCCACCACAAAGTTCTGTCTTCCTTTCTGCATCAATGTCCAGTAACAACACCAATGTAAGGCCCGGAAGGAAAGGAGAGTC